AAAAACAAAGCGTTTTGATAACGAGTGCGCGGTTCAAACACTGGGTAGAATCTTTGCTCCAATTTTATGCTGCATTGAAATATTTTCAGTTTTGAAAATAACCATTGAGTAAGCTTTAATTTCATATATTTCGAACTAATAAAACGGAAATGCTTGGCTCAATCCTTAAAGAAAATTCGTTTTAATTCGTTGAGGAGAGCTTCCTCCAAAAACATAGAACCGCTTTGGGTATGAAAATAGCAGTGCCATTTGCTAATATTTTCATGGCGGAAATTGAAAAGAAATTAATCCAACAGTTAAAGCGAAACCAAACCAAAAGAATGGAAACGTTACATTAATGAAGTTTTCTCCCTATGGGATTGCGACAGAAAAGAGGTAAATCGGTTCAATAAACGGGCTAACTATTTCCACCCTACTACCACATCACGGCTGAAATATCAGAGAATTAACCAAATCACTTTTCTCGATACCACGGTGTTCAACGGGGAAAGATTCGCAAAAAATCCCATCTGGGATATCAAAACTCATTAGAGGCAGACCGAGACTTTCCAAATTACACACTTCGCCTTGTGCCACCCACCAGGCGTAAAATATAGTTCATTAAAGGCAAGCAATAAGAATGCCTAGAACTAACTCTTCGAAAAAAACATTTGAAGTGGGCCGTTTGAAATTCAAACAAAGCCTCGAAGCAAGAGGGTACCCAGAAAGCATCGTAGAAAGGTGTCTGTCAGGGGTCAGCTTTGCCTCTTGACAATCGGCCTTTAAACATACACAAAAGCAGAAAGGTCACGAACGTTTATTGCCTTTCGTCACAACGTACCACCCGCCAGTTAAAAATTTAAAACAAATATTGATGGAACAGTGGAGTCTGATACACAATCAGCCCTTGCTGAAAACAAATTTTACAAAACCTCCGATCATCTTTTATAAAAAGGGAAAATCTCTCTAAGACATGCTTGTGAGAGCAAAAAATACAATTTGAACATGGCGAGTCCTTGCTGCTCTATCTTTATCTTTATTCTCACATCGTGTCGCTGCGACTTATCGCTTGTATCTACTTTCTTCTCCTCTCTGTTGTCAATTCCTCTTCGAAGGAAGACTTATTTTTAATAACTGATAGTATTCGATAAAATCCAATCCCTTTGTCCCGATCACTTTTGCTGCCACAGCTGAAAACTACAAAAGAACCATTTCTACTTTCTCACTCACACCTTACTACAAGTGCATTTGTAACTATTTGTTTGGGCACCGACATGACGGATAGTAACCGTCGTCAAGACAAAAGTCACGTGGGTGAAAACCAAGAATAAGCAAAAATCTCGTGATTCATCATGTG